GGGGGATTCCACGACCTAAATCGGAAGGCAGAGTACCTGAAAGCTTGTTTTGTGTAAGTTGTAGGGTCTGTAGTGCTGACATGTTGAAAATGTTTGCGGGGACAGAACCAGTAAACTCATTATTGGATAATTTCAGCGCCTGTAGTTTCTTAACATTACAGCTCCGCTGGTATCTCTCCTGTCAATTTGGGAAAATATTTGAGTACCATTATGTTATGGTGGAAGACAGAAAAGGAGAAAATGAACGTAAAACGATGGAATGGCCCCGATGAAGTTATTGCTTGTAACATCAATTAATTTCAACCTCTGCAAATGAGCCAATTCTTCTGGCAATTCTCGATAAAAAGTGTTGTTGTTGATGTCAATGGAAGTGAGAAATGAGAGGTTTCCGAGGTGAGGAGGAATGGTACCATGAAGTTGCATGCTAGAAATGTTTAAAGCAGTAACTCGATGGTGGCCGCGGGAGCTGCAAGTGATTCCAATCGAGCTACAAACTAGGCCTGAAGAAGACCAGTTTCTTGCTAAGATGTTATTAGGACCAAAAGAAATGTGAGATTTCAATGCAAGAAGAGCAGCTTCATCGGTGCTAATATTGGGAACAGTAGCAAGGGAAGTATGGTCATGTAGCATAATGAAAACTGCAAGAGCAAAGAGAAGATTACCCATAACTACATATAACAGGCTGGTTTATTTCTCTTTCCTTGTTGAGCTAAAACAAGAATTGATAGTGCAAAGCAATGATCTCAGAGGATCTATTTAATGATATCAAATTCATTGTACACCAATCAATTTTTGGAGCGTGTTTACCTTGAAAATGGTATTAACAATTATATTTGATTTGTGGTTCTAAAAATACATGATTTATCTTAATACTAGTTGTTATGTGAATAATGCTAAGTATAAATGAACAAGAAATGATAAGCAAACCAGTGTGGTCACAAGACCGAGGGCCTCGAGCTCGGCAATATCGGACCTCGAGGGCAGCCTTTAAAAGTTGATGATGAGCAATAAATGAAGAACAATGAATGAACACAATAAATGAGAAGTAATAAATGAAGAACAATGCAATAAATTCGTAGAGTAATTGTTGAGAATGTTTAGGCAAGAAAAGCAGAGAATGTTCTATTGTATTCAATGTTATCTCCCTTACAAAATAACAAGGGTCCCCTTTATATAGGAGGGGGGAATCCCAACATAGTACATGTCTAATAATAACAAGAAAATGCTATTGGTACAGCTGTATAATGGCATAGTACAGATTTGTACTATTCTTGCGAACCCGGTCAGCTCTAACCACGTATAGTTGGGAGTTTCCCGCCTTTTCATAATGATCATCAATTGTACTGCTCCGAGATCGACCATCGTGAGCCTTCGATGCACTCCCTCGAGGGATACACCTCGGGGTCGTGCCCCACGCTCTGCTTCGGGCTTTTCGATGTTGGGCGTGGAGCGGCATAGTAGCCCCAAAGTCAAACTCCCTAATTTTGGCCTTATACAGATAGTCCCCGTGTTTCTTAGAATGAAATGATAAGAAACGATCTTGAGTTCTTGCCTCTTCGACACCCCCATTGTGACGTCAGCCACGTGAGATCATTAAATGGCGTGTCAGAAAAATTGTACAGGGGTGTTATCAAACACGGTTCTCGATAAGCCCAGGAACCGCTATTGGTTGCTCTTTCAACTCCTCCAAGTGACTTATAACTACTCCAATTCCCTATCTTTCAAACCTTTGCAACATCTTTAGATCTTCAAATCTTCGTTAACAGTTTCTTGTCTTCACCCTTCTTCTGTGTTCACTTCTTCGTAAACTTGCTTTGAAACCTTTGTTACAACCATGGCCAAACCTTCTAAGACAATACCTCTAAAAGAGGAAGCCCCTTCTTCGTCACGCTCGAGCAAAAAGGTAGTGCCTCCCAGCGTTGAAGAGTGCGTTCCTGGGCCCTTCGATACATCGTCCGATCTCAAAATTAAAAAGCCTTCTTCGGTACCGGGCCGATGCGAGCCCATACTCGGTACATCAGTTTAATAACCGATGTAGAGAAGGTAAAACTAGATTGCCGTTGGGGAGAGGCGGTGCAAGTAGAGATCCCTTTACCGGAAGAGGATGTAACTAAACACAAAGCTGGCTTCCTTAGCGTATATACATATCCCTTTACCTTAGGCCCTGTAGATCTTCCTCTCCACCGATAGACCCGGTGATCCTCGATTTTTGCCGACAATATCAAGTGACGCTTGGTCAGATTTATCCTTCTTTTTGGAGAATCGTTTATTTTATTAGATATTTCTCGAACATGGTCAAGGGGATGGATTTCACCCTTGACCATCTGATTAGATTGTATAGCCCTCGCCTCTATCGAGGGGGCTTAGTCAAACTGCGGTGCCGATCTGCCAAAGCATTTCTTGCGAGCATCGACGAAGATAAAGACCGGGGGTGGATGAGCCGCTTCGTTCGAGTCAGAACTTCAGACCTCATCCCTGCCGAGAAGATGCCATTCCCTGAGGAATGGAATATGAGACGTAAGTGTTGTTACACCGAGCATGTTTTATCATCTGAATGCCCTCTTTTCCTCCTTCGAACTAATTCCTTTCTCTTTTGAATTGATTCCCTTCTGGTTGCTTAGCCATCATGTGGTTCCCCAGCGCGGTCAAGGACCTCCCGGGCTGGGTTAGACTTTCAGACTCCGCCTTTTCATATAACAAGCGCGTTTGGTTTGATCTAGCCAAAACTCGATGGGAGGCCAAAAATCATGGTACGCTCTCACCATTGTCGCTTCTAAATCCCTTATGAATAGATTTCTTAGCGGTATGTTTGACATTTTACGCATGTGCAGACCTTGGGGAAGCCATTTCAATGAGATCGCCTGCTCCTGGCGAAGAGGAGACCTAAAGGCCCGCCAAAGATAGAAAGAGAAAGAAGGAGACGCTAGCGGAGTCCCCGAAAGCAAAGAGAGCCAAGGCTCGAAAACCCAGGGGCGATGCAACGTACCTAACTTCGGCAGCTGCTGAGAGTCTTCGTGCCGAAGACGAAGACGATGACGGTTGCCCACTGGTACATCGGGCAAGACGAAGCGCTGATTCTTCGAAGGCTGCTAGGCAGAAGGATTTTTCTTAAGTGTCATCTTACAAATAGGTTTTGAAAATAAGATTTTTACATAAAATCACATGACATTTCAAAAGCAACAAATTTAGAAACATATGGTGACATCCTTCCCGTTGTTCCCACAAGTGTGGATGCACGTTTATAAATAATATCACACCTTGACTCAAAACATGCTTGTAGAGAGAACTCCTCAAGAAGAGTAAGTCATAAGAAACTTACCTCAACCTTCAAGCTCCAAATAATACTACACCTCCCCAACTAATTAATATGCTCAAATATCGCCAACAATTCAATATCTACCAATATATATCCCAACTTTATCGAAACAAACCTGAAAAAGATTTATAAGTAACTAGTTATACTTTTCAATTCGACAATAAGCCTTCAACTATTCCAAATTATCCGATAGGTCCACCAATTAGCCTATTCAATCTCATTCTTATCACTAAATACTCATTTGGATTCATTATTGATACTATATTATTTACTTAACATCACCAAGTCACTATTCATTATCTTCTCAAATAAAACTCTAGGTTCAAGAACATCCAATTCATGAACTAGTGTTATTTCTTAGCCAAATGACGATTCGCCCTTCTATTCGTCCATCAATTAGGTTATCAAGTCTATTAGCATCATTAAAAACTCAAAACAATTTTATTTATATCAATACACCACTATTCACCTTCTTCTTCATTCAAAATTATTTTCAAGACTCGCGCTTGGGTTTGTATAATACTCCATTATAACTTTAAATAAACTTCATAAACATGCTACCCATACTCCAATATATCATATATGTGAAGCTCAAGTAAAGGATTTACCTCTTGATGAAAGAGTCTCACTTTTCTCGTTTTGGTGTTCTTGAAGATTCAACCCATTTCCTATGAATTTTGATCCGTAATAATGTTAGTGTTATATCAAATGATGTTATATAATCATTCTTATACCAAATAAACTTACCTTGAAGTGTATTCATGGTGGGAGAGTTCCTCCTTCTCTCTAGAACCCAAACCCTTGTCCAAAATTCCATCTCTTCCTCTATCCCCTAAATAGTCACTTTTATAAATTTGAAGATATGCGTAGCTATGCATACCTGCAGCGTAGCTACGCTCCCCTTCCTCTTTAGCTCCATTTCATTTGATTAGCTTGTTGGAATTAGCTACTCACAAAGCAGTGTAGCTACGTGGTTATTGTGTTACTCTTTAGTAAAATGATCATAACATCTTGTAGGAATATCCAAATGATAAACAGTTTGAAGCATTGAAAACTAGACTCATATATCTTTAATTTCATCGGTCGTACATAACATAAACCTTCATATATCTGGAGTCGTGCTCGTTTGAAGTTAGACCTTGTACAAACTCAGTTGAAATATTAGCCCATCATATAGTTTCTAACTAGACTTAGTTTTAGGGCTCTTCTTAGACCATAAACTTTTATTAATGCACCTTGTACACATATTACCATGACTAATCGGTATCCTTCATATCATTATTTCTTGTTCATACAAGAATTAATATAATAAGCACACGTTAATCTTCTTAATAGCCTTAAAAACTTCGTGATTTTCCGGGGTATTACACTATCATATGTGCCTTTAGGCACTGAGATGAAGCCACGTGTTTGCTTCTTTAATTTGGGATAAGGCCTCATTTGTCCACAAAATAATTTTCTTTTATCAAAAGACTTTTTCAAAAATATGTTTGTCCATGAAATTTTGCAAGTTTTTGAAAATTTTTCGAAAATGAGTTTTTCAAAAATCAAAAAGTGATTTTTACCATATATTTTCCCACTAAAAATACTTTTATATTTTCAACTGAAATGCATATCAAAATACAATTTCAAACTTAATTCAAAATATTTTTTGTTTTTCAAAAATTACAATTTTTTGTCCAAATGCCTACTTAGATCTAGGTCCGACTTCTTAGCTTTATCCGAACACTTTCCTTTTCTTCTTCGAGCTCCAACCCTTGTCTCTTCGATTCTTCCTGAGAGATGAGAGAATGTGACGATTGATTTCCAACATAGTTGACAAGGAAGACCGAATTGATCCCAATTCCCATGGAATAGGAACTGAAAGCATAAACCTCGTTTACTGGCCGGTGAAGCTTGCCGAATTCCTGGAGGTGAGCCGATCTGGTCTAGAATTAGGATTTAATTTACTTTTCCTCCTTGTAGTGTGACTTCTTAATCTTCAGATTTCGTCTAGAATTAGGATTTAATTTACTTTTCCTCCTTGTAGTGTGACTTGTTAATTTATAAATTCATGCAATCTTCTTTGGATTACTTCGAAAATTTGTACCATGGCGAGAGCAACAGGTGACATATTACCTGATTCCCTCATCCACAAAATCCTCTCTTACCTTAATCCTGAGGAAGCAGCCCCGATGAAGATTATCTCCAAAACATGGCTACAAGCCTGGTTGATGACTAAAGCCAACTTGGTATTCGAAGTTCATTCTCGCAAACACATTAGAATAGTGGATAAAATTATGGAGATATATCGAGACAGAAAATTTCCTATTGACAAGTTTATATTTCAGAGCGTAAGAGAGTTTGATTCTCGGGAAGTCTTTCTTCTGTTTGATAAGTGGCTTGGCGTTGCTCTTCAGAATGGTGTAAAAGATCTCGTTTTTAGAGTTCCTGGCTTCTCATACCACTTTCCAATTTTCAAAGTCTTGGCATCAAAATCATTAAGAAAATTGTGATCTGACGCGTTTTTCATTATCTAGTGGTCTGGCGAACTGCGATTCATTAAGAAAGCTTTCTCTTTCTTATGTTCGTTTAGACGAACAGTTGCTTCAGGCTTTACTTACTAGCTGTCCGTTGATTGTCAGTTTCACCCTCGAGCATTGTGGTGGGTTGACAAAGATTGAGTTGCGGAATCTTCAAAATATTAGGTCAGTTTCTATTGGGACGAACAGAAACCAGCATGTTAAAATCCACGCACCAACTCTGGAACACTTGTCTTATTTTGGTGCTCGAGAAAATTTACCTATGTTGGATATTGTTGAAGGTCAGAATCTGAAATCTTTAGAGATATTTGGTGTTTCGACGCCTGTTTCGTATCTTGATCAAGTGACTGGAAAAATCAGCATCATGAAAGAATTGGAGTCATTGTACAATTCTCATGATATACAAAATTTGCAATACTTCTGTTATATCCCTTAGTATCAGTACTGTAGTGGCCCTATTGTACACCAGTTTTCGTTTCACAATTAGATGGTGATGCCAAAACTTGTTTCATCACCCAAAATATGTACTGCTTTTGCAGTAGTACAATTTGATTTTGTTAATGTTAGCTGATAGCTTTTGTTTGCCATATTTAAAACAATGAATCAAGGAAAAGTTACATATGGCTTGGTTTTTCTATTGTTTGCCTAAAATTCCAAATTGCATCTCATAGAAAAGGAGACTTTAAATCAGTTCTTTAGTTTTGCATATTTTCTTTTGAATTTGTGCCTCCCCCCCTCCCCCCCCTAGCCCAAAAAGAAATAACACCAACATATGTAGGGATATTTCATTCCTTTTATGCATGATAGGCCGTTGTAATACGAATAATCTCTATTGCAGATCTATATTGAAATGATTTATGGAGAAGTGTTAGAGTTCTGCTAGATTAAAATTTGAGTGCAAGCATGAATGCAGCGTTGACTCCAGTCAATTATATTCGAAATTTAGTGTTAAAATTGTTAAATGCGGAACGATTATTGATTATGGAATCAATTAATTTGAGGGGATTTGTTTGCTTTGGCAGGACCCCATTTTGGGCCTAAAACTAAAAGGCCCGAAGGTCACTGCCTTGGTTATCTAGGGGAGAAGTGCACGGTTGGCCACTAATAACATATGTATTTACTTTTAAGCCACCGTTTAAAATGTCTTTAGTGTTTAGCCACTGCTTTAATAAATTTTAACTGCCCGGACGAAAATGCCCTTCTACTCATTTTGTACTTAACTTCAGGATTTCAGGACTACATGTCCTTAACTTTTGAACTTGGAACTCTAAGTTTAAGACTTCAGGACTACATGTCCTTAACTTTTGAACTTGTAACTCTAAGTTCAGGACTTCAAGGCTACATGTCCTTAACTTTTGAACTTGGAACTCTAAGTTCAGGACTTTAGGACTACATGTTCTTAACTTTTGAACTTGTAACTCTAAGTTCAGGACTTCAAGGCTACATGTCCTTAACTTTTGAACTTGGAACTCAAACTTCAGGACCAAGCGTCCTTAACTTTTGAACTTGTAAGTCAAAGTTAAGGACCTATTGTCCTTAACTTTTGAACTTGTAACTGTAAGTTAAGGACTGCGTGTCCTTAACTTTTGAACGTGTAACTGTAAGTTAAGGAATGTCTGTCCTTAACTTTTGAACTTGGAAATCAAAGTTAAGGACCTATTGTCCTTAACTTTTGAACTTGTAACTGTAAGTTAAGGACTGCCTGTCCTTAACTTTTGAACTTGTGTCCTTAACTATTGAACTTAACTTTAGGAATCCAGGACTACATTTCCTTAACTTTTGAACTTGAAACTCTAAGTTCAGGACCATGTCCTTAACTTTTGAATTTAACTTTAGGACTTCTGGACTACATGTCCTTAACACAATTATCTTTGTCCTCAACTTTTTGGCTTTTTACCATATTTTTCCTAATTATCTGTTGTTTAAGAAAATCTAAAAGTCACTTCTTTTAGAAAACCAAAAGTCACGTCCTCCCACGTTGTGATTATTATGAGTGAAACCAAGCAATTCAACTCCTGAAAGCAGACACAAAAGAAAATGAGAGGCTTATAAAAGCAGTAAGGAATTCGAAATCATTAATCCCATTTTCTTTGTTTTCTCTATCAAATGGTCAGCTCCTTCTCGTTCTCTTGTGACTTCTGAGAGAGATCTTTTTTTCTCCTTTTTCTCTGGACCTCACTCTTTTCCACTGTCTTAAATGCTGTGTTTGAGATTTAGGACCCAATTGATGTCCGAGAAGATGATCAGTAGCTAATGTTGTCAGGGGGTCTTTCTCAAGTTCGATGCAGAGAGAGAAGCGAGAGTTTGGGGAGAAAGGCAATGGAAGAAAGGGTAAAAATATCTTTTTATATTAATTTTAATAAAGTAGTGGCTATTTTTGCTCAACATTAGACTTGCTGGATAAAAAATAAATACCACCTTAAATAGTGGCTACCCCACGCCATTTCTGCGTTATCTAGTGGTGCGAGGCCGAATGGCCTAGAATGTGTGATATAAGTTGTCTAGAATTGGGCTGGTTTAGCTAAATTAATGTTGTCCACAATAAATTATTCATAATCATGGACCCTCACGTATAGAAAATTATCTGAACAATCATAGTTTGTTTTGGGTGTGATTAATAAAAAATCATTGTGACTATAGGTACGGTTTCCGTGGCATAGTGACGATACATAATCCTCAATTCGAGTGTGCGTTTCACGTGACTCGACTCTAACTTCAAATAATAATAAAAAATAAACGTGTTGTAAATCGCGGGTACATTTTTTGTGACGTGATGCACAATATGTACAAAAACAAACGAGTGCGCGACATCCCAACTTGTTCAACTTAATTGGATGATAGTTTGTCAGACATGCTTGTTCTACATTTACTATCTCCTTTTGGTTTTGGTAACTCTATGTATCTCCAAGTAGTGTTTTATTGTTGGATTCGTGGAGAATTGTTGCCTTCGGCTTTCAACAGGTCAAGGTAGGATGTTATGGTTCAGCACCAGCCCAATATGAATACTAACAAGAATGCATACAAATAGATATTGGGCCGAGAAGAAGCAGTTGGGCCAGGCCTTCACAAAGGTGAATCTAGGATCAGTAGGCTATGGTGAATTATGTGCAAAGGCATTCCTTATTCCCGTTCTATTTCCCTTGTAGTACTTTCATTTCAGTAGTGCTACTCTTTTTTCTCTGTGATTCAGCGATTATAATACAGTTGTTTGGGAGTCCATTTGTTACATTGGTGCTTTAATTTGATTCGAACTCCAATGGTTCCTTGGCTTCTCCGAGGAATATTGGTTACCTCTCCATCACTTCTTCTTTGAAAGTGATGTCCTCATTTGGTATGATCAGCTACATCATAACAACCAATTCTATGATTGGAACCATTTCAAGGAGAAATTGCTTATGCAATTTCGACAACGGAGCTTCACAGGAGAGTCTGGCCTATTTTGGCTACATTAATTTCAGTATACCCCTAGCAGAGGTCAAGACACTGCTACAAAATCCAAAAAGCGATAGGCAACCAAAATGTCCAATTTGATACTGAGCGATCAGATGTTACAGTTGTCCTGCTGCAATGGAGTCTGATTTAAACAATGCAAAACAAGAGGAGGTCGCAGAATTAGAGATTGCTTCTGATTTGGACGATGGCAACTCAAGCCCTACAAACAATTCCAAGGTCCCTCCTGCGATGTTAGAAACTCCGATCCACAAATTTTTGAACCCCACTCTGTCTGTACTTCCTCAACGATTTCAATTGGTGGCAATTGTGAGGTGGATACACTGCTGAAATGTAAAATGATGAGGAGGAATATTCAAGGATCTATGCCTGCAAGGAGTTCACTGAAATAATAAATAGGGAAATGGATATGAACTTTGAAGATTTAGTATAGGCTTCCACCCATGTTTCGACGATATATTTCATACAGTTTCCACAGCTAAGTGTGCTTACAGTGACCTTGTCATGTTTGCTAATCACCTAGCACTGCCTTGTATGCTTTCCGCTTGCAGTCACGACCAACTCAGAGGTATATTTGATTAATTAAGTGAACTCGATCATGCAAAACTTATATTTTCCTTGCATCGATTTCCACCTGCTCAATTTTGATTGGTCTTTCCCTTTGATCGTGGTTCAAGTATGCTTACTACAGCATGCGTAATTCCCTGCCTCGTGCCTACTATGAGAGTGCAGGAATAGAAAATGCAGTCAAGTTTTTTGCGCAACTGTGTTGAATGGGAACATATTAATTTCTTGAAATATAACGTATTTATGGTTGGATGATGCATATGATAGTTTGTATGACTATGTTTACAAACTGTGGTTTTCTTTCCTCTTGTGGTGCATTAACATATATAGCAGGAAGTATTGTGTTGAGTTGTCCCACATCGGTGGGAGTTGAGGTCCTTGGTCTCCTTATATGGCTTGAGCAATGCATGCCACTATGACAATTGCCCACTATACAGGGTAACTTTGAAGAGAATGAAGTGCCTAAGGTGCTTGAAGCTATGTGCAATAGATAAAGCTCCCGGCCCATATGGTTTTTTAAGATGGGGGTATTCATCAAATGCTGGGAGACAGTGAAGTATGACATCATGAATGCTTTTCAAAACTTTTATGACAAAGAAGTTGTTGAAAGAAGCTTCAATGCGACATTTATTACTCTCATAACAAAGAATAATAGTGCTAAGGAACTAAGGGAGTTCAGGCCTATCAGCTTGACAGGTAGCATTTACAGATTCTTTTCCAAAGTTTTGGCAGAGAGATTAAAAAGGGTGATTTCACAATTGGTGGACTATTAACAAATGACTTTCATTAAAGGTAGACAAATCATGGATGCCGTAATAGTAGCCAATGAAGCAGTTGATTCTAGGTTGAAACAAAAGAAACCTAGTATCTTGTGCAAACTTGATACTAAAAAGGGTTATGACCATGTCAATTGGAGTTTCCTCCTGATACTGCTTCAAAGAATTGGTCTTGGTCAAAAATGGATAAATTGGATTAAATTCTGCATTTCAATAGTCAGATTTTCAGTTCTTATAAATGGCTCCCTAACAGGTTTTTCCAAAGCAGAAAGGGGACTAAGGCAAGGTGATCCTTTATCACCTTTTCTGGTTGTGATTGCTATGGAAGGTCTTAACAATATGATTAAAACAGCCAATCAGTATGGGTGGATAAAAGGTTTTGATATAGCTAGAATGGGCAATGATATTTTATAAGTGACTCATTTACAATATACTGATGATACCTCATATTTTGTGATGCTAAAGTAGATCAACTGAAATATCTCAGGGTGATTTTGGTTCTTTTTAAAGGAATCTCTAGTTTGCATATCAACAGGAGGAAAAGTTTTCTTTACCCTGTCAATGAAGTCACAAACATAGATATGTTAGCTGTTGTTCTGGGTGGTGAAGTATGGGCTTTACCAACAATATATTTTGGTAGAAATGGCGTGGGATAATCACTTTTTAACATGGTATTTACTTTTTATCCAGTGTTTTTAATATTGAGGAAAAATAGCCACTACTCTATTAAAATTAATATGAAAAAATATTTTTACCCTTTGTTGTGTAAATATTAAAGATATGGTGTTCGATAACTCATTGCAAAGACTGACCTCCGATAACTCATTGCAGAAATTCCAGCT